GCAAGGCGGCCAAGCTCAGAGTTTATTATTTTGAGGTCAACGAGGAGGGAAGCTGTGACAGGGAATGAATAGAGAAATTGTATAGAAAATATGGACTTTATAGCTGCCCTTCTATACCTATGGATTGATGGGTAGTATGCTAACTGTGCTGCGAAATTGGAGAAAACTGCAAAGGGAAGAATGACAGCTATTACTCCGATAGTCCATGCCTTTCTGCCGCATTTGAGAACCAATGTTGGGTCCATCTTCACTCCACTTAGGAATATAAAGAAGATGTAGCCGATTTTGGATAACAAATCTAAATAAACGTGTCCTTGGGGGGGAAATATTTTGTTTGTGAATCCTGGAATTTGCCCCAGGACTGTGGGACCCAGTATTACGCCAGCCTGTTGCAAAACATACATTCTTTCATCAAAATTAATACAAGTAGATAGTTATGACTATAGTAGATGGCTAAAATCAAAATATAGTCTTACCCTCCATGCCCCTACCCATTCAAATCCTTCCACCATCCCTAAAAAAATCATGTGGGGTGAAGTTTTCAGCATTTCAAACAGGATGCTTGTTCATACTTATAGTTAGTATATCCAAATGAGAAATCACTCATATATCAAACACTTTTTTGTGGCACAACAAGCCAGAGGCCTAGAGCTTACAGCTAAGGTCAAAATTCTGCATACTTGTCTAATTTTGGGGGTATTGTAAAGGAACTTCTGAATCTCAAACACTAACTAAATAAAGTAGGCTCGTTTGACAAGAAACTAGAAATGCTTTGACTTGCATTGATTGCATTTATTTTCTTGAATAATGCGTAGTATAAATTCATAAATGACAGTTCCAGTACAAATTTATAATGAATTGAGTTTTGATACATTCTAAAACCTATAAGATTTTCAGTTCAGCATTTCAGCAAACTTTTTTTCTGTTAAGCCACATAAATCATACATCCAAACAAGACATTGCTATATTGAAGGCTTAATTTAGGAGGATTTCAGCCCCAAGTTGGAGTTTTTGCCTAAATAATGCAAATTGCAAAGAATGCTATAACTCAAGGAGATATATTATCTGTTATTCATGAAAAAAAGTATGGGTTTTGATTGAATTGAAGGGAAAAATACAGGCGAATTGAAATTGAAATGTAATTAAGACAAAATAAAATTAAAAAAATAAAACTGGGTAAGAGAGGAAGATACCAAAAGTTCTGCGACAATGCGGGGCATACGAGCAGGCTTGATCAGCAAATAGAGAGATTGGGTGAGGAAGAAGATGATACACAATTGCAGAAGAAGAAGGGGCAGAGTATAATCGAGGAGCCCCCTCGGGTAATTTGGGTCGCCGGCGTCCCAAAGTCCGGGAGAGTGAAGGTGTATAACAGCCTCGCATTTATTCTCTGCGTCGCCGGGAAGTTGCCCCGGCGGCGGGGGTACCCGCAAGTCCATGCCGGAGAATCGAAAGAATTCTCAGGGAAAGGAGGGAAAAAAAAACTGAAAATATTTTGCATCGCAGAGTATTCCCGGGAACGAGGAGGTGGGGATGTTGTGTTGTGCAATGTGCATGGCGAGGTGTGAAGACACGTGTCCGGAAATTTGTTGTCTTTTTCCCTATTTTTCTTCCTTCTCAATTTCCCCCCCTGTTCTAAAAATCGTTTTAGGCACCTGAATAGTCCCCGCCTAGGCGCTAGGCGGTGGTCGGGCGCCCCGATTTTTGTCTAGGCGCTCCGACTAATTGATTTGCCGTCTGTGTGAATTAGTCGCCCACCTGGAGCACCTAGTTGCCCGCCTAGAGTGCCTAATCGGCCGCCTAGGGTGTCTAATTTGTCAAAATTTGCTTCAGTTTTTAACTTTAATTTTCTAAGCGATATACATACTTTAACTTTAGTCATGGATATAAAGAAATGAAGTTGTAAATTAAGATAAAACTATATATGTTTGTATATTACCTAAAATTTATAATTATTTATATTTATAACATAATGAAGTTAAGTGATTAGTTATCTTGTACTACATATGATTAAATGTGATAATTATATCATTCATGTTTGTTAATGTATATGTATATATGGATTTTATACACACAAAAATACAATATTACTTATCATATTTATGCAAAAATATAGATAAAAATACAATTTTCATGTCTCCAACTAGTCCCCGACTAGGCGCCCGCCTAGCCGCCTAGGCGCTAGGCTCTGAGTTGGCGCCCGACTAGCGCCTAACGCCTTTTAGAACATTGATTTTTCCTAATTACTTCGAGTACATAATAAGCAAGGAAAACAATGTCTTATATGTATGTCAATTGCCAACATAGGCATTAACCAGCACTTCAGGATTTTATCAATTCATTTAATTGTTCTCGAATTCAACATAACAACTAATTTTGTGTGTTATTTTCAAACTTATTTCACATCATAAAAACCAATTTTTTATTGAATAAATTGTTAGTACCATGTTAAAACATTTGTCTCACGCTGGAAAGCTATAAAACAACATTATGTAAGGTTTTGGACTACTCCTCTCAGGTTGACCTTAGCTTTTAGGATGGAACCCCGGGTCTTAACATGGTATCAGAACCAATTCCGGTTGTGGTTTGACGGCTTGTTTAGAACCCATGATTAAGGGTAGCTTGTTAAGGGTTTGTTTGGCCCGTTTATACCCCTGGTATTGTCCAGCTCGGTTCGGACTGAGGGGGCATGTTAAAGGATTTGTCCCACACCGGAAAGTTATAAAACAATTAAACACTATATAAGGCTTTGGCCCACTCCTCCTATCAGGTTGACCTTTTAGGATGGAACTCCGGATCTTATCAGGTTGACCTTTTAAATAACACTTTGTTATTTAAAAAAAAAGGATCATATGCTTTGTTTTCCTTGAATGGACTAACCGTTGCATTCATATTTCTTATATATATAATCAATGCCTTATAGTTCCCAGCAAAATCAAGGTGAGTCCGTTAATTGTGGTGAAAGCGAACTCCGGCGGGCGGCGCCGGTGAAGAACTCCATTGGAGGTGGCGTGAACCTGGTACAAATTGGCGGTGGTGAACAATCAAAATTTACCACATCGGCGGGAGGCTGGACTGCTCCAAACCTATTTATTTTGCAAAATAAATTTTTTTTAAAGCATAAATGGCATCATGTGAGTACATTCTGATCTCATGCAATTTAATTGTCTTTGACGTTGTGTAAAATGGCTACCCAATATGATTGCTGATCTCACCTCAAGTTTCAATTTGTAAGTGAATTGGGTCCAAGAAGTTTCCTTTTCATCAAGATTCTATGATAACATATACTCGTATAATTGTGGAGTAGACGTATAATAAGTAGTACGTACGTTCGCCGTAGTTTGGAGTAGGTATAATATAGAGTATGTGGTATGCATTAAGATGTAAACAAGTTGGTCATAAGAGTGTTGATTGGGGTCGTTGGTCATGTGTATTGAATTTCGAGTGATACATTGCTAAACAAGTTGAGAGACGTGATGAAGCTAGAGGTAGGCCGGGAGGAGAGAGAAGAAGACCTAAGCCGACATCAGACGTGAATTAGAAGAGTCAAGAGCGAAAGTGGGGGCATAGCTCACCTGGTACGAAGGTATAGTGTCACAAGGGAAAGAACCGGTTCAACTTCAAGCTAATAAGCAAGATCTGGTATGAAGTCTCACTCTCTTTCTATTAGTATGAAATCAAAGCTTAGTTTACATCCTCCCAGATAACTTCAATATCATGTATCGATTCATGTTAGTCGATTTAAATTTTTTTAGAGACTAAGGCTTGAATGTTGTTATTGAAAGAACTTTTACTATTTTAATGATTTTTCCATATTTGAATTTGTAGGATTAACAACCTATTATTGAATTGTGCGTATTGGTGATGGACTTTTAAGGCTTCAAGAATGACACAATTTAGAATATAAGGGTGAAAAGTTGTGCACAAAAAAAGAATAACGTAGCAAGCTTGTAAATTATGAATGTGCGTATCGGCGATAGACTTTTAAGGCTTCAAGAATTACACAATTTAGAATACGGGGTGAAAAGCTGTGCACAAAAATAGAATAACGTACCAAGCTTGTAAATTATGAATGAAAAGTGAATTAAATTCGATCGCTTAAGTAAATTTACACGAGAGATTACCTTTTTGACGTTTTTTAAATGAATTGAAATTAGAACACCTCAAATAGTATCAAAAGTTCAAAACATGACAACTTTTTAAAATATGATAGATCTAATATTTAAAATTCCATAAGTTGAACTTATTATTTGTGATTGGACAAAAATTCATATTCTTGTAGGGTCGGAGCAGTGCAACGGTCACTCTTTGGAATTTTTCCGCAACCTCTGACATAGAGTCAGACTGTTATCGTTGACTCGTTGCCACCACCAATGGACTGCTCTGATTGTGCTAGGGAATAGAGGCAATGTACGAATATATTATAATTATTATACTAGTTCATACGTATTTTCTATTATTGGTGTACATATGTATTTTCCTTTTTGATCTCCTACTTTTCCGTGTGACGTTTACTGCTTGGAGATTTTGTACTTATTTAGTTTACATTATTTTGCATTCTAGAATTGTATATAAGGGACCCTTATTCAGCAATACAAGCAGAAGCATTTTTGCTCTCTTTTTCTCATTGTTATTCGAATATATAATTCCATTATGTTTGATAGTATATGTTATGCCAATATGGTATCAGAGCCACATTTAAAATATGACGGTGCTTTCGTTCAACGCGGCCATTTTGTTGTGGAGTCCCAACACAAGAAGTTTGAAATAAAATTCCTTGATCAAGAAAGTATTCCCTCAGTGGAGAAAATTCTGTCCCATTATCAGCCCGCACAATTTTAACAGATGTATTAAATTGAGTACGGACCATTGAAAAAAAACGCTTCATAATAACCGGAACCTCCATTTTTCCAATCATCAAATGAACCCAAACAGCACGCGAATAATCATCCACAATAGTCAAGAAATAATATGCACCACAAGTACTTGGTTCCCGGTATGGGCCCCACACATCACAATGAATAAGTTCGAAAATACGCAGTGCACGATTCAAACTAGGATTAAATATTTCACGTGTCTGTTTTGCTCTAGCACAAATATCACAACTTTTATTAAAATCACTACGAACGGCAACTTTATTTTGACCAACAGAAAGTAGTTGTATCACCCGAGATGAAGGATGCCCCATTCTTTTATGCCATAATTCTCCTGTGCCACCAGCCACATGGGAAGCCTGCACAGATTCAGCTCCACATAAATAATAGACCCCGCCACGACGTTCACCCACTCCAATCAACATCTTCAAAGTGAGGTCCTGTATCACACAGAATTTGTTAGTAAAAATAACGTGACAAGATAAATCGTCAATCAAACGACCAACCGAAATCAAGTGACACGTCAAATTGGGCACTAAAAGTACTCTGTCAAGAGTTACTCCGGGTCCTACCACCACACGTCCAACATGGCTAGCAAAAGTAACATTTCCATTCGGAAGAGTGACAGGTATATACGTCACAGGAGTAATGTCAAACATAACATTTTTATCACCCGTCATGTGATATGATGCACCGGTGTCAAGAAGCCAGTTTACACGCCTCGTATCTGTCGATGTTTCAACACCATGCCCTGTTTGGAATTTTTTCATGAATTCTAAAAAAGAATTCCACTGGTCTGCCGAGAGGGTAGGAAACTGCTTGGGTTCGGCCTGTGCTTTTATTTCCTCCAAAGAGTTTCCATCCACCGCATTAGCCTGTGCACCATGCCCCCTATGATATTTCCACAAAATCGGACACCGTCCATGATTAATGGGGGCAAAACTCCTTTTGAATGCTTGTATGGTAAAGTGCCGTCTTATGAACACATCAAAATATTTGGTTGTCTATGCTACATTCATTCTAAAAATAGTGACAAGTTTGAAACATGTAGTCAAAGATGTGTTTTTTTGGGTTATTCTTATACTCAGAAGGGTTGGAAGGTCTTAGATTTGGAAACACACAAGCAATTTGTCTCCCGAGACGTTCGGTTTGTGGAGAATGTTTTTCCATTTCATGACTCTAATTCTACCGGTTCAGCTAATATTCAAAGGGAGGATTCTGGCATGCATTATAGGTCCTATATCCATGATGATGATATTAATGATTTTGGTTCTCCTGACAACTTTGTGCCACGGTCAAATATACTCAATTTGACACATGAGGACACTATGGATACGGCTGACACATTTACACCTCACGAGGACAGCATGCATGAGGCTTCACAACACGATACGGCCGATATGGACACTCACGAAACATCTACTGCCATGCAGTCTAATCCGGCAGATTTCAGCCTTCTTGGACGTGGTTTGCGCCGCAAAGTCCCATCCGTCAAGCTCCGAGATTACGTCCAGACACATGCCGCACAGATTGACCCCCACGACTTCACCGCTCCGTCTTTATCTTCAGGTAGTCCTTATCCCTTGACTTGTTATGTAAATTATAATGCTTACTCGGTGCGGCATAGAGCTTTTCTTGCAGCTATCTCACATGAGCAGGAACCTACTTCCTATCAAGCTGCTGTTCGTGACCCGCGCTGGCGGGCGGCCATGCGACATGAGATTGATGCTTTGGAGGCAAATGGGACATGGACCATGGTTGATCTTCCCACACACAAGAAACCTATTCATTGTAAGTGGGTTTACAAAATTAAATATAATAGTGATGGTTCTGTTGAACGCTTTAAAGCGCGTCTTGTAGTGTGTGGTAATCGCCAAGTGGAGGGTGTTGATTATCATGAGACTTTCGCTCCTGTTGCCAAAATGACGACCGTGAGAACTCTCTTAGCTGTGGCGGCTTCCAAGAATTGGGAGCTTCATCAAATGGATGTCGATAATGCTTTTTTGCATGGGCAGTTAGAGGAAGAGGTTTACATGCATCCACCTCCTGGTTTTTCCTCTTCTCGGCCCAATCAAGTATGTCGTCTACAACGCTCACTTTATGGGCTCCGCCAAGCACCTAGGTGTTGGTTTTCGCGCCTTAGTGATGCTCTTATAACCTATGGTTTTACTCGCTCTTATGCTGACTACTCACTGTTCACTTTGACCAAAGGGAATGATTTTATTTGTATCCTGGTTTATGTTGATGATTTGCTAATTGCTGGGACCAGTTCTTCACTTATTACTGCACTTAAGGCATATCTTGCTCGGTGTTTTCCTATTAAGGATCTTGGTCGTCTCAAATATTTTTTGGGTCTCGAAGTTGCTCGTAGCCCAAGTGGCATATTTCTATGTCAACGAAAGTATACTTTAGATCTTCTTGATGAGCTGGGAATGTCAGGCAGCAAGCCTGCAGACTTCCCCATGGAGCAGAATCACCGGTTGGCTGTCACTCAAAGTCCTCTTCTTTCACAGCCAGACCGCTACCGGCGTGTCATTGGTAAGTTGATTTACTTAACTTTGACACGTCCCGAGTTGAGCTATTGTGTTCATATTCTTGCTCAGTTTATGCAGTCTCCCCGTAATGAGCATTGGGAGGCGGTTCTCCGTGTTCTTCGTTATCTGAAGGGAAATCCAGGGCAGGGTATCCTGCTTCGTGCTGATTCTGACCTGCATCTTCACGGTTATTGTGATTCGGACTGGGCTGCCTGTCCGATCAGTCGTCGCTCACTCACTGGGTATATAGTCCTGTTAGGCGGCTCTCCCATTTCTTGGAAGACCAAGAAGCAGCCTACTGTGTCCCGCTCATCGGCTGAAGCTGAATATCGTTCAATGGCTACTGTGGGATGTGAACTCATTTGGCTCAAAAGTCTGCTCCGCTCACTTGGAATTTCTCATTCACGACCCATGGATGTTCTTTGTGACAATCGGGCTGCTCTCCATATTGCATCTAATCCTGTTTTTCATGAGCGTACCAAACACATAGAGATCGATTGTCATTTTATTCGTGATCTTATTCAAAACGGGACTATTGTTACTCGACACCTCAGCTCTTCCATGCAACTTGCGGATATTTTCACTAAAGCTCTTGGTGCTCAGCAATTTCATTTTCTCTTATCCAAGTTGGGCGTTCTCACTCCGACCGCTCCAACTTGAGGGGGGGTGTACGAATATATTATAATTATTATACTAGTTCATACGTATTTTCTATTATTGGTGTACATATGTATTTTCCTTTTTGATCTCCTACTTTTCCGTGTGACGTTTACTGCTTGGAGATTTTGTACTTATTTAGTTTACATTATTTTGCATTCTAGAATTGTATATAAGGGACCCTTATTCAGCAATACAAGCAGAAGCATTTTTGCTCTCTTTTTCTCATTGTTATTCGAATATATAATTCCATTATGTTTGATAGTATATGTTATGCCAATAGGCAACTAACTATGATATGTGTGGGAAGGTAATATTCAGTCCTATTTAAGGGAAAAAGATTTGAAGATCAACACATAACTCTACTTCCTTTCGTCTTGCATGAGTGTTCTCGCCTAAGGAAGTGTGGGACTCGAGACGAAGGAAGATGAATTATTTGCTGATCTTTCATGTGATATGTGGTCAACCGATGCGCATGGGAATCTTTGCTAAGAATATGAGTTTGAGATTTTCCGATTCACAATCAATCACCACGCAAACTAAAGTTGATCATCTTTTATAGGACGGAAGGAGAATAAAAGAACGCAAACTAAAGTTGATCATCTTTTATAGGACGGAAGGAGAATAAAAGAAAGTGTCAGTGATCACATATTATGAGGATAGCATCTCAATCTCATATTAATTGAAATGAAACTTATTTATAAAATATGGCTAGCTGATGGAAGTAAATCCACCGGAAAATAATTAATAAGAGATAGCCGAAAATAATTAAAGTGCTCAGGATAATCTTTAGAGAGATAAATGTATGTAGTGTATTCAGTGTATTTAGCTTGATCAACATTCCAAGGATTACATGATTTTATAGTAGAAAATAAGACATAAAAGATTCGGGCGACATGGTCGCCATGTTCGAATTGATATGCAGATCAATAATCAGGATCCGCGGAATCCTTTGTTGATTGTGTGAATATCTTGAAAAGACGTCGTTGATGTAGTTTGTCGTACGGAGTCGCCATGTAGCTTTTGTCATGATGTCCAGAGACACCATGTATAGATTGTTTAGATAAGCTTCTACTACTATGTCCAGGGTCACTGTGGACATTTCTTTATATAAGCTCGCCCTGGCATCCAAGGCTATAGTGCACTCTGGTCTTCTACTTGCGTCCATGGTTGCTATGGACGTGCTCTTTGGATAAGCTTACCATGACATCCATGGTTACTCCGTACTCCCTATTCTTCTACTAACTCTTGTCCATAGTCGCCATGTACAGTCTTTTATCTCCTAACCCGCCCATGGTCACCACGTACGAGCTCTTCTTATACCTTATCATCATCCGTACATAGTTACCGTGCACATGAACCTCTAACTCACTTTCATCCATGTTAATCCGATCAATATTTATCCATGGTTGGGATAATTATACCATCACAAGCCCCCACTCCCTAAGCCAAATAGCATATTGGCGATAGGGAGTATAGGCATAGTTGCCGTGTCAATGTTGATAGACATAGTTGCCGATTCAATGTTGAGTGTACATGGTCACCATGTCAATTTTTGTTTTTTGTCTTTACCCATTCAATCATTTTAACTAATTCAATTTTCCTTTTCTTTTACTGAAGTGTGCAGCTCATGACTCCAAATTTACTTCCTTCCTAGCAGCTTCGTTGGTGAGGGTCAAGGACTGCCATACTGCCCAGGTCGCAGCTCGTCGGCAGCCACCAGCCGGTCAACGTCTCCAGCCGCCACCAGCGTCCAATTACGCAACCAGCCTACCCACGTTCGAAGTTCTTGCCTGCCGTCGTACTCCATCCGCCCCAGACGGTCGCTGCGAGTAAACAGAGCACCCCAACCACACTGGCGGTGTCCCTATAGCCTGGCATTAGCGCACTCCGGTGACCTCAGGGACTGTGCCGTCGTCGTCTGTCATCCTGCCATCGCCGTCTTCCACCTGCGTCGTCGTTGTCCCGCTGAAGGTCTGAATCAGATTCTGCCGCCGTTGCTGTTAGAATACACAGGTATGCTCCCGTTTTCTGTCTTCTTTCCTTTTATTTGTAATTTTGACTTCCCTCTTAAGTCTCCTCCGTAATTTTGGCTTTGAACATAACTCCTTTTGCTATGTCCTTGATGTTATCAATCAATTGCAGTGACGTACGAAGTATCTTTCAATTTTTTTTTTATAGCTAATGACTGATATACGTAGTAATATTTTTTTTTTTTTAATAATTAGCGGCTGATTTTTCTCTTGCCCTTTTTTTTTTGCATAATATGTTAGCTGTTAATACCTTATGGATGTACTGGACTCCATAGACTCTGATGAATTGTTCAGTGGTGACGGGGAATTAGTGTTGGAGAATTTTCCTCATCCCTGGGCAGATGTTAATTCTGATGTTGAAGAAATTAGTCCCATAAAGCCACGAGCCGCTTCAGTCAAACCACCAAAACGTCGCTACCGTGGTCCGTATCCACCCTTAGACCCGAGCCCCATCTTACACTACAGGTCGCGCCTCTCAGTTTCCAAGTTTCAAAAGTATAAGAAATTTTTTCCGTCCACAGTGACTGTCCGATGTCCAGATTCGGAGGATATTGTAACCGATCCTCCTAAGGGTCACTTTTTCGGGGTGCATATTCTTTCCATAAAATTAGGATTCCGCTTTCCCACACACCCTTTGATTATCGAGTTTTTAAATGATCTTGAAATTTCACCTTGTCACTTGACTCCGCTCGGTTATCAGTATCTGGTAGCTTTCCTGGTCCGGTGTAAGACACTTGGGATTGAACCGTCCCTAGACCTCTTCAAGCACATGTTCCGAGCTGGGCAGTGCTCGGCATCTGATAGTCTGTCCTGGGTGTCTATCTCTCAGCGCAACCACTTTGACATGTGGAAGGTCACTCGTAGCAACGAAGCCAATTGGAAAGAAGAATTTGTCTATGTGTCGTCTGGATCTCCGTTACCTTTTTCATCGTCTTTGAATTGTCGGTTTAAGAGGTATTCGTACCCGAAACTTCCGGTTGACCAGGAGACATGGCCGGCTATGATTCTTTCTGGAGGACCGTATAGCCTCTCTGCCTTTACTTCCGAGGACCGCCTAACCACGGTTGGACTCTATTCGCCGTCACCATGTTCGGGTGCACACGCATCCACGTCCACGGATCAAGGTTGTCCACAGTTACTTTGTCTATAGGAGATAATACACGCATATATATATATATATATATATATATATATATATATATATATATATTAACTAACACATATGCATACCCCCTTTTTTTTTGCAGATATGACATCGCGGTTGGAGATGTTCCAAAGCTTCGACCAGGATGGGCCTCGCGGTAGTGACCAGGGGCGCTCTGACAAGAAACCAAGGGTTCCCTCCGTCACAAAAGGCAAGGATGCCATTGTAACTGTGCCTTCATCCATTGCAAAACGCAGGGCCGCTAGCCCCGCAGCCCGCGTCACCCGTAGCATGAGTGATATTCCCACGGCGGGGATGACTACTTGGTTACGAGGTAACCTTGAGTTACCTCCGCTCTTATCACAGGTGATCACGGCGACTGAGAAGGAGAAAATTTCAACACTTGACCATGCTGCTTTAGAGAAGAGGAGCCACCATGGCCTGGCCGAGGTAACCCTTCCATTTCCCCGTTACCTTTTATTTATGCATCTTGTGATACTAATTTTTTTTTCTTTTTTGTAGCTACTGTTGTCCATCTCCGAGGTGAACCGAAGGAAAGATGAGCGCGAGAAAGATTTGTCGCTACAACTCACCGAATTAGCGAAGGAGGTGGCATCGCTCAAGCTCGTGCATGACTCACATGCAGCCGAGGTCACTGCGCTTAAAGAAATGCACACCGTGGAGTTGGCCAATGCAAGGGGGCGGGCCGTGGATGCATACAAGAATTCTCCAGAGTTCGTGTCTGATCAGGAAGCATACATTAATGCCCACTTGAACGATATTAGCAAGCATTGGTTGTCTACTCCGGAAGGTCGTGAGAAACTGGCCTTAGAGAGCTACATCTCCTACCAGATCGGGATATATGCCACTCAACAGAAAATATATCCTATCTTGAGGGATAAGGCTGGTACCTCTTGCATCACTGATTGGGGACTTCCTCCTGAGGTTCCCAACCCTGAGATCCCGGTAGCCAACACGCCCCTGGACTATATTCCTTTTGACAGACTCCCCACTGATGAGGAGCTTGGCGATCTTCCTTCCGAGACAGATCACCCAGCTTCGACTGCTTCTGTGCCTTAGAGCATGGGAGTGACGGATGGACGTAGTGTAGACTTTAATTCTGTCATGTCTTCAATTATGAGTACCTGAATTGCTAAACATGTTTTGAATTTCATAAAATAATAATGATGCATGTCTTATTTTCTTTTCGTTATTGTTTAGTATTATCGCATAATTAATTATTTGACCAACATTTAGGTTTTATGAGACCGCGCGGTGACCATGCCTTGTTTGGCATGGTTTGTGTGATAATTTATAGTAGTGTACGGTGATACTACACCAAGTGTATAACTTTGGTGCATTTATCGCCCCGTATCTGCCTAATTTTCAATTGAGGCATTGTGCATTTAGATAGAGTGACTGAGGACAACGATAGGCACAAGGTGTCGTTGACACCTCCTCCTTTGCTACATTGCGCGCATCACTTATTCCCAAAAAATAGGACTAAGTGAGCGAACCTAACACCTGAGTGACTTAGGCTTGCTCTGGGGCACACAACGTTTTTTGGGAAACATGGCCGCTATCCGATATATTTCACAGATGCATCCTGACCATACAACCCTGAGGGTTACGCATTTGTTGGGATCGATTTGCGATGTATCCTCGTCCCCTTTCTAGGGGCGAGTCTATACCCCTTGCGTGTTGAGAATTTCAGCTATGTCATAGGAGACATGCCTGGCTACTTACTAGTTTTTTATTTCATTTTTTTTTTGTTTTGGGTGAGTTTTACACCCACGGTGTCCTTGGATGACACCTTGTAATTTGTTTTTGTTTTGGGTGAGCTTGACACCCACAGTGTCTTTGAACGACACCATTTTTTTTTTTTTTTTGCGGCCAGGGACTACCATTATTCACTCTTGTGTGGATCAAGGAGATCTCTTATTTGAAAACAGTGGATGGAAAAGGACCGCGTTTACCACCATACATGGTTACCATACATCATAATCATCAGGTTGGAGTATCAATGATAAATTTTCAATGGTAAAACTTGAGCAAGTGTTCTGCGTTCCAAGTCCTCTCAATTTCTTTTCCCTTCGGCGTCTGGAGTTTGAACGTCCCTGGACGGATCACTGATTTAATCACGTAAGGGCCTTCATAATTTTTGGCAAATTTCCCCCCTTCCAAGGGTTTGCTGACCTCCCTTTTTCTCAAGACATAGTCCCCAACTTCAAAGTTGCGTTTACGAACTCGAGAATCATGGTATCCCTTCACCTGCCTTCTATAGTTCTCCGCACGGCAGAAAGCCGCTTCTCTTCTTTCTTCAATAAAAAGAAGCTCGGTCGCCATGACCTCCTCGTTCGTCTCGGGGTCATATTCCTCTTCTCGGCGGCTATGGAGAATTACTTCCGCAGGTGCCCTCGCCTCGAAACCATATGTCAAGGAGAATGGTGTCTCCCCTGTGGCCTTTCTTGGTGTGGTCCTGTATGCCCAGAGTATCTGTGGTAGTTCTTCAGCCCACTCCCCTCCGGCAGCTTCCAGCTTTTTCTTCAAACCGTCCATGATCGTGCGGTTTGCATTCTCCACTTGGCCATTCGCTTGGGGATAGGCAACTGACGCATTGCTGTGTTTGATCCCCCAACTCTCACAGAATTCGTTAAACCCGGATGCTCCGAATTGCCTCCCATTATCGGTTATGATCTGTTGGGGTACTCCAAAGCGACAAAGGATGTGCTTCATGACAAATTTTCTGCATTGCCCTTCAGTGATGCTTGCTAGGGGTACTGCTTCTATCCATTTAGTAAAATAGTCTATGGCAACGATAACCCATCTCACGCTCCCTGTTCCCCTTGGTAAGGCACCAATGAGATCTATTCCCCACCTTGCGAAAGGTATAGCCGTGCTGATGGGGGTGTAGTTGGTGGCTGGACGTCCCGGAGATTTCTGGAACTCTTGACACACCACACACCTCTTGACAAATTCAGCGCAATCCTTAACTATGGTTGGCCAGAAGAAACCTTGTAGGATTACCTTTCGGGACATGGTGTGTGCTCCTTGGTGAGCTGAGCATATCCCTGCATGTATCTCTTCCATGGCAACCTTGGCTTCATCTGGTCGTAAGCACTTGAGAAGCGTGCCATTGTAAGACCTCTTGTACAGTTTCTCATTCAAAATGGTATAACTCGGCGCCCTCATCTTAGTCACCTTGGCTTCAACCTCCTCCGCGGGCAGCACTCCCTCGTTGATATACTTGATGAGGGAGTCAATCCAGTCCGCGTCCCTCGTGGTTATGGCCTGGACAGGGCATGCATATATGCTGGAAGTGTCCAACTCTTCTATCCTTGCAATCTTTGAAATCCTTTCCGGTGTCTCTGCACTTAATTTGGATAACATGTCTGCTTCGACATTTTGCGCTCTTGGTATCTGTTCAATTTCATAGGCGATGAACAATTTTAGAAGTTCTAGGGCAGCGTCACGATATAGCCGCATCCGTTCTTCCTTCGCCTCAAACTCAGTCGTGATCTGTCCAACCACTAGTTTTGAATCACACCGTATCTTGACCTTCTCTGCCCTCATGTTTGCTGCCAAGCGTAGACCACATAGTAGAGCCTCGTACTCTGCCTCATTATTCGACACCTTGAAGTTGAACCGGATAGCGTAATAGGCCCTGAAGCCTTCGGGCGTGGTGAGGACCACCCCTCCCCCGCAAGATTTGGCCGCGGAGGAGCCATCCGTGGACAGTATCCACCACTCTTGTTCATCGTCGCCATGCTTCATCTTCGTTGCTTCCTCCCGCGCCGTGCATTCTACTATGAAATCTGCAAGAGCTTGCCCCTTGATGGAAGGTCTTGGCTTCACCTCTATATGAAATTGACTTAGATACACTGCCCATTTGACCATCCTCGAGGAAGCCGTGGGACTCCTCATTAAGGCACCCAGGGGTTGGTGTGACAGTACATGGACAGGGTGAGCTTGGAAGTATTGCGTGAGCCGTTTGACCGTCCACACCACGGATAGAACAGTTTTTTCTATGGTTGTGTACCGTAACTCAGCGTCCCTCAAAGTTTTGCTTACATAGTAAACGGGTCTTTGGACGCCACCATCTTCACGCACCAAGACAGAACTAATTGCACTTGGTGAAACCCCTAGGTATAGGTATAGTGTCTCCCCCGCTTCAGGTTTAGATAACACTGGAGGAGACAAGAGGTAGTTTTTCAATCCCTCGAATGACTTTTGACACTCCTCAGTCCATACGAAACCCTTTGATTTCTTCATGATGTGGAAGAATGGCGTGGCTTTCTCCGCTAGTTTTGATAAGAAGCGGTTCAAAGCCGCCAAGCGTCCCGTCAATCGCTGCACTTCTTTGACATTACGAGGAGGTTCCATTTCGAGTATGGCCTTGACTTTCTCCGGATTTGGCTCGATTCCTCTTCTGCTTACCAAGTAACCCAGGAACTTCCCTCCTTGCACGGCGAACGTGCACTTCTTTGGATTGAGACGAAGATTGAACTTCTCCATGATTTTGAACACCTCTGCCAAATCCACGGCATGCGTACCTGCTCTTTTACTCTTCACAATCATATCATCCACGTAGGCCTCCATGGTGCGGCCTAGGACAGGTCGAAAAAGTTTAGAGATCATGCGGGTGTACGTTGCCCCAGAGTTTTTCAGCCCAAACGCCATGACTAAGTAACAGAAAACACCCTCTGGAGTCATGAATGAGGTCTTCTCTGCATCCTCCTCATGCATGCGAATTTGGTGGTATCCACTGAAAGCATCCATGAAACTCATCAATTCACACCCCGCTGTCTCGTCCACCAATTGGTCGATGTTAGGCAATGGGAATGGATCCATCGGGCATGCCTTGTTTAGGTCAGTGTAATCCACACACATCCTCCACGTTGGGGGTTTAGGTGCCAATACCACATTTGCCAACCATTCTGGGTATTTCACCTCCTTGATGTGGCCGATTTTTAACAAGGTGCCCACTTCTTTCCTTACGAATTCCCGCCTGTCCGAGGACATGTAACGTTTCTTTTGTTTCACCGGTTTTGACATAGTGTCCACATCTAGGCGATGAGAGATGACATCTCTACTGATGCCCGGCATGTCCTCTGGTCCTCTTGCAAATATGCCTTGGTACATAGTCAGGACGGTTATGACCTCAGCGCGGAGCTCAGCTGACAATCCGGTGCCTATCTTAACCTTGCGCTCTGGGGTTGCAGGGTCAAGGGTGACCTCTTCTGTCCCTTCTGCTGGTTCAGCACGGGGTCTTCGCTCTTCATCTTGTAGGTATTGTGTGGCCACAGTGTTTACCTGGAGGCCATGCCGCCCCACCTTCTTTGTGATTTTTATGTAACATGTTCGGGCGAGCTTCTGGCTCCCGCGTGCTATCCCCACTCCGGTTGGTGTTGGGAACTTAATACAAAGATGTGTCGGGGACACAATGCACTGCAAATCTTCCAGGCCTGGCCGTCCGAGTATAAGATTATGTGCACATATCAGTCGGACAACTACGAACTCCATGTTGAGTTTCACTTTATGGGATGTGTCCCCCACCTCTACCGGGACCGTGACAACTCCCTCTGCCTCGATAGAGTCACCCGTGAACCCAGATAACGGGGTTTTTATCGGATGGAGTTTTCCTTTGGACAACTTCAGTTTCTCGAAAGTGTCGAGGTACATTATGTTAACGGAACTTCCAGTGTCGACCAGGGTACGGTGTATGACAAGATCATTGATCTCCATTTTGATAACCATGGCATCCCGATGTGGGCTTGGACATGGTGGTAGGTCATCATCAGTAAAGCATATAGGTTCACGTCGTACCTTCTTTTTCATTGGAGAGTGCATGATCTCACCAATGTACAGTTGACGAGCCCATTTCTTTCGAAGGGACGAAGAGTCCCCGCCTGCATTACCTCCATAAATGAAATTGATGTCATGGTTCCTCTTGTCTCGCTTCGGCCCTGGCTCATCCGAGGCATCCTCGTCACTCTCATTTCCAATGTGTCTTTTCTCTGCCCTTCGGGTCTCCGGCTGCGTGCATGCCACTTGTTCTGATGATTTCCGCCATACATGGTTGGGCTGCTGTGCAGCCCCTTTGACGAAGTTACTCAGATGGCCTCTTTGGATCAGTCTTTCAATCTCGCGTTTCAAGGTAAAGCACTCCTCCGTGTCGTGATTATCCACCCGGT